GAGCCTTTTTTCTTCCTTAAGTCATTTTTCTGTCTCACCTCTCACAGAAGGGCTCATATATTCTAATATAGCATTAACACCACACCCTTTAGCCTTCAAATGGAATGATGGTTTGAGGGGAGAATTGTATAATATCTTTAATAATGAAAAAATGAACGACCAAATGGATAAGATTTTTATTCATTCAAACGATAATGAGATAACCATCAACTCCCTAGCTAACCATTTTACAGATACTATTAACAAAGCAGCTACGAGTTTAATATCTTTCAAAAAATTGAAGAAGAATTCCAATAAGGTGGGAACGAATTCAATTCCAAAGCAGAATTGGTTTGATAATAACTGTTACCGTCTTAAAAAAGAACTACGAAACTTAGGGAAGCTATTATCTAAACAACCAAATAACCCTTTTGTAAGACACTTGTTCTTCACCAAGAAAAAAGAATACAAGAAATTAACTAGAAAACGTAAGAGGAATTTTCATAGCAATATATTGGATAAAATTAAAATCCTGGCGGATAGCAATCCGAAAGCGTTTTGGAACCTTGTTAACTCAATTAAATCCAATCGTACTAGTGGTTCCAACGAAATATCGCCCGTTGAGTGGTTTAACTATTTTCACGACCTAAATAAGACTAATTTTTCCTCTGAGAGCACGAGCACTGAGTCTCGAATAGTCGCTGATATTAACCTTTGGGCGACCAGTGGTGTTGAGATTCTTGACAAACCAATTTCTTTAAAAGAAATTCACGACATCTCTAGAAAACTCAAACCTAACAAAGCAAGCGCAAACGATTCACTTAATAATGAAATTATTAACTTAATAATGAAATTATTAAAATATCATCCATTAGTTTAGCTCCTCACTATGTGAAACTATTTAATAAGATTTTATCTAGTGGAGTTTGTCCAAAAATATGGTCGGAAGGCCTTATTACTCCTATACACAAATCGGGAAATAAAACTGATCCTGGAAATTACAGAGGTATATGCATCTCTAGCTGTTTAGGAAAATTTTTCACTTCAATTCTTAATGCACGTTTAAATGTTTTTCTAGAAGAAAACAGTATTTTGAACAAGTACCAAATTGGTTTTAGACATGGATTTCGTACGTCTGATCATCTGCTCGTTCTTAAAACATTAATAGACTCTTATAAGTTAAGGCGGAAACCTATGTTTGCATGTTTTGTTGATTTCAGGAAAGCATACGATAGTGTCTGGCGAGAAGGTTTATTTTTTAAACTGATAAACTACGGATGTAGCAGAAAATTTGTCACAATTTTACTGAACATGTATTCCTCTGTTAAATCAGCGGTTAAGCTTGAACAAGGTGTCACACCATTCTTTCAATCTCATGTTGGAGTAAAACAAGGATGTAACCTAAGTCCAACATTGTTCAACCTCTTCATCAACGATATACCTAATTTATTTAATACTACTTGTGAACCTGTGAAGTTCGGAGACACTGAGTTGAGTTGTTTGCTGTATGCCGACGACTTGGTGATAATGTCAGAATCGGAATCTGGGCTACAATGCTGCCTTCAAAAACTTGAACTATATACTAAGAAATGGAAATTACAAGTTAATCTAAAAAACCCAAAAATTCTGATTTTCGGGACACAGTATCAAAGACGACAATTTATCTCCACCAAGTGGTTCTTCGGGGACAATCCACTGGATTGTGTGAACGAATATACGTATTTGGGATTAACTTTTCATTGTGGTGGTAACTTTAAGATAGCGACAACAATGTTATACAACAAGGCATTACGAGCTTACAATTGCCTAATGCAGAAACTTTCAAATGTAGAGAATATACCGATTAAAACATTACTGAAACTATTCTATTCGGTAGTGGTTCCAGTTTTATTATATGGTTGTGAAATCTGGGGTGTATGTTTACTGGGTAAAATTTCTTCGTTTGAACTTTTCCAAAAGAGATTTTTCAGTGTGGTGAATAAAATGGAATCACTTCAGTTGAAATTTTTTAAACGTATACTCGGAGTTCACTCGAAAAGTACAAATCTAGCAGTATACGGTGAACTAGGTAGAGTCCCTCTAATAGTACAGATCTCTACTCTAGTGACAAAGTATTGGATACGAATTAAAGATCCGAATTATATGAATACTCTTGTAGGAGAGGCAGCGAGTTTTAATATTCGAGCGAATACTCAGGCAGTTAATTTTACAAACCATATATTAAAACTATGTGATCTGGGTTCACTAAACGGTATTTCTCTCCCACTTGAAAGTTTACATAATGTAGGTACATATCTAAAAAATAGATTATCTACTTATTTTACTCATTTTTGGAAAGATCAGATTGAACAAAGTCGTCACAGTGGTAAATTAAGAACTCTAGTACAAGTTAAGAATAATTTTGTATTTGAAGAATACCTTCATGAAATATGCAATGTTAAGCATCGCCAAGCAATAACAAAAATGAGAATATCTGCGCACAAACTACCGGTTGAATCTGGAAGATATACCAAAACACCATACGAAGATCGGTTTTGTACCTTATGTCAATCGAGTGAAATTGGAGATGAATTTCACTACTTATTATCATGCTCCAACCAAAAAATTTCAGAAACTCGAAATATTTTTTTAAACGAGTTATATGGTATCAATAGTTCTTTCCGCCTATTTGGTATACAAATAATTTATTCTTATATATTTTTAATATACATGATAAATCTATCATGAAAATAGTAGCAAAATATTTTCATGATATTCTTCTATTATATGATAATCAGTGCATTATGTAATCATGCATATCTTCATTCATGATATAAAAAATGTTAATGCACTTTTTATAATCTTATATCTTATAACAACTATCACATATAGATACGCTTTGTATCTTTTATTGTATGTAATTTCATATGTGCCTGTATTGGTATTTTGATGAATAAAGATTATTATTATTTGTACAATTAGCCTTTCTCACGATGACGAATATCCTCCATTTTTGGGTGGCATCTAATACTCGTTAACCAATGCAGACGGCAATTAAAACAATGTGAAAAGCAATTTTTCAAAATAAAATAACCATTTACAAAGCAAATTTACCATCATTCGTCCTAAAAGGTCGCTGTTGTGTGGATTTATCTCGCAGACTTCGGCTGAAAAGCCACCCAACTGAAAATGGCGGCGTGAGAAAGGCTAATTTATTAGCAACGGCATTTATATCACACCGGCATCGCCTTGCGACCACCGCAAATTTTCCAAGCAGATAATTCTCTATAATTCTAATTGTTAACGTTCAGGAATGCTCATGGCATACCTGTACTTTTCTGCATAGGCTTTTTAAGTCGTAACTGTTGTATATTACTTGTCGAGCTTCACTGGCACTTAGGCCTGTTTCAAACGTCGCGCTTCTCATGTGCCGAACGCATTAGAAACAATAGATAATCAGGCATTTCAGCTGATTATCTCTTGTTTTTTTAAAATGCGTTCGGCACATGAGAAGCTCGACGTTTGAAACAGGCCTTAGTTGTATTTTGCTCGTTTGTTTGAATTTAAACGGATACGTATTTTAGCGAGTTCAAATGCACCAAAGCCTGACGTTGTCCATGGCGTACATTTTGTTCTCTCTGGCGTGGGTTAATTGAAACGACGCCGTTATATCACGGCCACTTTTCGAGTTTTCTTGAATACCCTCGTTCGGGTAGTTTTTGGCTGGTAATCTCTTTCAGATTCCGTTTCATTACTTGTCAGCTCTATTGTTAATAGCGTTTTCCTAATGTGCGGTCTGGCGAGGTCTACACATGTCCATACGACTAGCCCGATGCTCAGCCTCTGCCAACTGAGGTACGCGGTCAGGTCGGTTCGAGTATGTGATATTTCGGAACTGAGTCTAGTTCCTTCGATATCTATGTAATCTAGTAATCATCACAAGCATCTTATTCACCTGAGTACATTGCACCAACACAAGAAAATGTCATGATTACTAGATTACATAAATATCGAAGGAACTAGACACACTCCGAAATATCGCATACTCGAACCGACCTTACCGCGTAGCTCAGTTGGCAGAGCATTGGGCTAGTATTCCAAAGGTCGTAGGTTCGATTCCCACCGTGGCCAGGCATACCTTTCAAGCCTGCCCGGTGTGGATATACGGCACGCAGAGTAACATCACAAGCATCTTATTCACCTGAGTACATTGCACCAACACAAGAAAATGTCATGATTACTAGATTACATAGATATCGAAGGAACTAGACTCAGTTCCGAAATATCACATACTTGAACCGACCTGACCGTGTAGCTCAGTTGGCAGAGCATTGGGCTAGTATTCCAAAGGTCGTAGGTTCGATTCCCACCGTGGTCAGGCATATTTTTCAAGCCTGCCCGGTGTGGATATAGACAGGGGCGTAGCGTGACCTTTTTAACTGGGGGGTGTAACATCTAAGTTTTACCGACGACCACGGAAAGAATCTGTTTTATTATCCAATGGCCTCGTTTTCATGTCAACTACTTACTCATGTTTTGTGCTTAGTAGGGTTGAAAATTACTTTGTTATTGAGCCTAGGAACAGCAAGAAACAAATTCGTCCAGGAAAACATGGGAATATAATCTTTATCTGCCCCTGACATGCTTTTAAAATAAGTTAACATAGAAACGAGGGCGAATGATGTTGTGTAAAAGAGAATAATCGGTAAGGTCTATTAAGAATAAAAAAACTAAATGCGAGCATTGTCGTGGATCAGTACATGCTGCATGCATTATCCCATAGTTGCCAACATTGGGAAAAACATGCGTGTGATTTTGTTTTGGGGGACCCACACATAAAATTTTTGAAAATATGGAGTCTCTAGATCATTGGAAAGGGCATTTTCAGAGTCGTCTGTACCTTATACACACAAGTTTTGGTAACTTTTATTTATATTAAACAAAACCATATTGTTGAATACCCACGAGGTTGCATGTAGCGATGTTTTGATATATTTAAGAACCAGTTGTGTTATTTTCGAAATCCGTGAGAATCCGGCGTGAGATATTGACACTCTTCTGTGAGTGTGAGCTCACCGTGTTGTTTCAGTAGAATCCGTGACCGCCCCTTATACCCAAGGGATCAATAGCCCGCGTGCAGGCCCAAGGGAAGAATAGTGGGCCTGCAAGCCAAACTCGTACCCAGGGCCAGTCGTGGCCGCCGCCTTCAATTCGCGGCTAGCCCTGGGTACGAGGTTGCCTGCAAGCAAGGCCCGGTATTTTGTAAAACGCCCCTTTTCATAACACGCCCCATTCGCGCGTCAATTGTCAAAAAAGAACCAATGACAGCAACCCAAATAGTAACAAACAAACTCGCATTAAAATGTTGCGGGGTTTTCTCTGCTTTAATATTCAAAATAGAAACAATGTGTAAATGGCTGTGTTTTAACTCAAAAAAGCAAGCAACGCAGTCAGTAATTGCCAAATTTGCAAGCGCTCATTTTCAACTAAAATCGGAACAGGCAAATTAGGATGAATTTCAACAAACTTCAAATCGTGAGGGGAGTCGTGGGACCACATTAGCATTAATGTGTGCTTCGCTGTCGCCATTGTTATAAATAAATTGTCTCACTTATCAGATCGTGTGTGCAATCATAGGCGTACGGGAAGGAAAAAATTAGGGGGGCGGAAAGAAATTTGACCGACTTTTTCCGATTGTACCCGACCAGTGCCGAAATTTTTTTTTTCCGGAACAATTTATTTTAATTGGCGACCTTTCCCCCCCCCCACCCCTCCCCCCGTCGCCAAAAAAATTTCGGTCATTGTACCATTTTAGGGGTCCAAAAAATTTTCGGACATACCAAAATTTTTCGGAGTATCAAACAAATTTTCCCAAACATAGAAAAATTTACATAATTTCCCAAAAAATTGACAGAATTTGTCCCATTTATTTTTATAATAACCAAATATTGCCCGACTGCGAAGCGAATATTGCCAAACTGGCTTTGTTTGCCCAACAAACTGGGGTTATTATTAAGAGAGATTTTCTTGCTTTGACTACTTTTTGCCCGACTTTTGCCCGACTTTTGTTGAACATTTGCCCGACTTCGACTTTGGAGGGGGGGGGGGGGGGAGGGCAGCTGCCCCCCTGCCCCCCGTCTGCACGCAGGCTACAAAAGAAGAGAGTGTTCAGAACTTCAGAGTCCAGATCGTTTCGTTTCAAACGGCAATTACCGTCTGGCGTCTTCTGTTTCGCTCTCTCAGCGAAGCCTTGCGAATCGCAAAGTGTTTTGAATAGGCTTACATGCAACTGCCTCTAAATCTTCACCGCGAAAAGCGCTGTTTTCTTCAGTGCAAGAACAGAGTCAACATCAACCAAAAGAATATTTTCTTGAGGAACATATAACGTATCAAGTCTGTTTGAAATTAATGAAACTCAAGTAAAGGTTTCTATAGTTTACCCCGGCAGTCGTAATGTTGCTATTCCAACACTTCACACAAGCAATCCCCATTGGCATAACGGCAAAAACATCTCTTCCTTCAAGTAAACAATAAACAGTCTGTTCTTGTTCCATTTTTAATCGAAAAAAGTGATCAATTTTCGAATTTTAAGCTTATCGAGAGCCTTTGTGCCGATGAATCAGTGATCTAATTATAGAACCATTAACAGCAAACAGCCAATCAGAATGCCGCGTTCGTGGGCGAACGCGGAAAGTACAAAATACCTGGCCTTGCTTGCAGGCCCACTATTCTTCCCTTGGATGAATAAGGGACTGTTTAATTTATATGATCCCGCTTTGCCAGGACGAGATATGATCATGAGGCGGGATAATTTCGATGTACTGAAATATGTCACAGTGCACGATTCAGCAAAAAACTTCATTATTTTCTAGAGATAGATTATAGTTAACTGTAAACGAATGGTTCAATCAGCAGATAGCTTTATTTCTTTCTGGCGATGCACTTGAAGGCATTTATATTTAGATCTGCTGTTTAGTGTTCATATAGAGGTATTGAAACAATATGATTTCATGAATTTATCTGGGGCCGGTTGTATAAAACTCTTAATCACTTTTTAATCACTATTTTGTAGTTAAATAGTGATTAACTCTCAAATACGCGCTTCTTATTGGATGACATTTCCACTAACTATAGTTAACTTTAATCACTTTTTTATACAACCGGCCCCAGCAGTTTTAATAGCCCACTGATACACTTATACAAGGAGTCAAAATAGGCCGTGGGCTGTTGTGCGAAAAAGTGCCTAGAAAAGCAATTTCGTGGCACCCTCCTGGGAAATAGATTTTCTGTGGTTCAATTCATAGAACCATAGATGCTTAATTACCACAAAAAGTTCCCAAGCAAAAAACTTGCCCAACACCGAGAAAATGGGTGATCAGTGATTATCCTCTATTAAATTGTATTACAGCAAGAAAATGTAAAATTTTGTATTCAATTACAACAAAAATGACTTGCATTATCAGAAAGCTTACAAAAACCTACATATAAGACATTTAAACAGTTTTTTTTATATCTAAAATTGTTTTCGAGTTATACGCTGTCAAAAACGCGTTTTTGACCTAGTACCCAGTCCTTATTGCGAGTTTTTGGTCCAATTTTCACATTTAAAACAGTGACTCAAAGACTATTTGAAAAATCAAAAAACTGTGTAAAAGTCTTATATGCGGTTTTTTGTACGCTTTCCGATGATGCAAGTTTTTTGCTGTAATACAATTTAATAGAGGATAATCATTGATCACCCATTTTCTCGGGATTGGGCAACTTTTTTGCTTGGGAACTTTTTTTGGTAGTGATGTACCTATATGCCTTTCAAATAAACCCCAAACCAAGTATTTTCCTCATGGGTGCCACGAAGCGAAATAATTTTGGCCAACAGCCCACGGCCTAAAATGAATACTTTCAGTTTATTTGTTTGTGTGGCGATGTGCCAAGACGATGTGTTTATAGTGTTCATTCTATAGATGTTTATAGCAATGTGCTTTGAGATATGTCCATTATTTATGTCCATTATTATATGTTATAAATATATAGTGTATACTCGAGTCTATACTATAGTCTATATGTATGCAGTATTTGCGTGAGTGCATATAGTGTATATAGTATATTGGCTATTACGTTGAATAAGGTCAATACTATAAATTATTGTATGATGTTTGTTGTAATTTGCGCGCTATGTATTCGTTTTGAATTAGGTTTTTGAAGAACGCCGGGGTATTATAAATTATTTTTATGATGTTTGTTGTAATTTGCGCGCTATGTGATTCGTTTTCAATAAGGTTCTTAATTTAAAGAACTAGGCAACACGATAAATTATTGTATAATGTTTGTTGTAATTTGCGCGCTATGTATTTGTTTTGATTATATAATGTTTGTCTTTCTGAAACGAGAGAGATTGGTACAAAGACCGTCCAGACGCATTGATGAAAATGATATCATGTTTCTCTGTACACCACAGGTGGTGGTTAAGCCAGATATTCGGGCATCGAATTTACCGATCGTAAAACGCTTTTACCATGCGTTACATATCGTAATATTGGACAAGTATGAATTATACATACAGAAGCAAGAAATTATAAGCATTGATGGTATTCATATAAAACCACCCATGCCTAGCTAGAAAGTAGAATTAGAATATTTATCTGAACTTTGACTTAATTTGTGCAAACCTGCAAGGTGTTTGATATCCAAATTGCACTTTTCCTACTTGCTGCACAGGCGTTTTAGTACAGAAGCCCAGAGGCGACAGCATAAAATTACTTTTTGTATTTTACATTTTTGTGTTTTATATTTTACATTTTTGTGTTTTATATTTTACATTTTTGTGTTTTATATTTTGTATTTTTGTGTTTTATATTTTGTATTTCTGTGTTTTATATTTTGTATTTTTTACATTGTATTTTAATGCGCGAAATGCGTGTTACACGACTGAACGCTGTTTAATATAAATTAAAGAACATTATCGCGCGCATAACTGCGATACGCATACCGAATCTGCGGCACGGCAGACATTAGCATTTATAATTTTTAATATACTCCCGTAAATCGTAATAAGGCTCGGTTTAGACGGCGACATTTTCATGGGCTTCATCTATTACGGCACAAGTTCGGCAACTGATATAAATATAAATATATATATAAATATATAGATTTCATATTTTTATGTCTTTGTTTGACATTCGACAAAGCAGCAACACTCGCTAAGTACGAGGCGCGCATAAGTCTATACAATGAACTATAGAGTGCTCAAGAACGTGGTACCCCGAACGAGCATAATATATGATTTGAGTTTTTTTCTCAAGGTCTTGCTTACTTTATTATATATATATATATATATATATATATATATATATATATATATATATATATATATATATATATATATATATATATATATATATATATATATATATATATATATAGAGATATATATATATATATATATATATATATATATATATATATATATATATATATATATATATATATATATATATATATATATATATATATATATATATATATATAAAGCTGCGATTAATCGTGTACGATTCGTTTTCTGGCTTATGTCATTGAGTGTTTACGCGTAAGCTGGCTACATTTGAAATTTATTTTTAACAAAATGGTAATGAATTATGGCGCCAGCACTCATTTTAATATGCCAGAATACGAATCGTACACGACAAATCGTAGCGTGAAAAGTCCCGTTTATCACACGAGCAATTTTTATGTGACAATTTTTATGTGACAAATGTATTTGGTTTTGGTCGTGTAGATGAGACAACAAATAATTGTCGATGCACTTGATTCCTGTTTAAAAATGATCTATGAACAGCGGTATCTCGCGCAGAAAAGGCGCGGACACTAAGTCACACTTACAAATACGGCGGGAGAAAAAAATGACATTTTATGTGACGAATAATCTACACGACTACACGAGCAATTTTTCGTATGTGACAACTTTTATTTGTCACATAAAAGCTAACACGCTAGCTTTTCAGCAACTGTAGTTTGCCACACAAAAAATTGCCCAATTTTCCTCGTCTACACGAGCAAATAAAAATTGTCACATAAAAATTGCTCGCCTGTAGACGGGGCTTAATTTAAACGTAGCTTAATATATATGTATAATGTAGTAATCGTCCTAATTTACATTGTATACAGTAATCGTCCTAATTTACATTGTATACAGTAATCGTCCTATAATTTAACGGTAAAATTTTCGGTATTTTAATTAACGGTAAAATTTTGGTATTTTAACGGTAAATCTTTGAAAAGCGGTTCTGAAACCATAAACAGTATTCTTTTCCTCACGCTTCACGGTATTTTCACGACTGAGGGTAACCGCCATTGAGTGAATCACGACTCACGATATACATCCTCTTGATTGCAGGTTGCGCTCCATGTAAGGAAAATCCCAATCTCTCACTCATTCTGACTTTGGCCCACTTTGACCTATGCCCGCAGCCGCGTTTCGATTCATTGCGCAAGTGGAATTTCATTTATTTACATGTACTACTTTATGGCTCTTCGCTATGCATTGAAACCAAGAGGATTTCAAAATTACTGCCGGCATGTTTTCAAACCACCTGGCAGCCTAGCTCGCTCTGTCTCTGTGGATTCGCGCTTCTTTTGTCAAGGCAGTTCCGAAGACATTCAACTTTCCCGACCAGTACAGCTTGCAGGACGTAAATACCTTGCCGGCTCGTTCGTTCCTGGCTTCCCCGAGCAACTCTCCAGTCCTAGGGAAGGCTTCCCTCTCGTTCTAAAAGCAAGGACCGACGCCGATTTGGAAAGCAAAAGCATCGAATTTTGGTCAGAATGTTTCAAGGAGCAAATTTCAGAGCTGTATAAAGATTTTCAGAACGGTAACAGCGAGCCAGTCGCCGTATTACTTCGCGGCTTGCCGATTAAAACCACCAAAGATTTCTCTCGCTTCGTAAAGGGCTTGAATTTCGAGCACTTTGTGTATCAGGGGGGCTTAAGCGTTCGTGATGAAGTCGAAGACTTTATACTGTCCGGAGCGGGAGAACCGAAAGAGTTCTCGATCGAGTTGCACAATGAAATGTCTTACAGTACAGATTATCCAAGCAAGTTCATCATAACATGTTTAAAAAAGTCTCTATTCGGAGGCGAAACGGCTATATGTAATGGTCGAGAACTGACTGCGAATATAGATGCTGATTTGAAGGCGAAATTCGAACGAAAAGGCATTCGGTAGGTGTAATTAGACAATAGAGAATTTAAGTTCGACTTCCGATACCAATACCGATACTAACAACATGTCATGCGCATGCTCTCTGCTCGCAAGAAGCACGAGGACAAGTGTATTGGAAGTCGCCACTACCGAAGTCGGCCTTGTATTGGAAGTCGGGGGAATTGTAAGATAAACTCATATAAATCGGATATTTCATAATTTTTACGATAAACATGTAAACTATTTGCCTATTAGCATCGCCTGAGTCATGTTTTAGTCGGAATTTTAGGTCAGCTGCCGTTTAGTATACCGCACATTTTCGGTTCTATACTTTATCTGTCGTGATAACTTAACGCTTTAAAATTCCCGGTACCAAAATGAGAACGGAAGTGAAAACATTTGTATCGGTATTGGTACTGGTATTGGAAGTCGAACTAAACTCTCTAATATTGATATAAATTGATATATATTATAAAATAAACAAGACGCCTTCCCAAAGGAAGTAGGGCTAACAAGACGGGTATAATAAAAACGGGTATAATATCCCAGTTCGATATTGAAAGATACTTAAAATTTCAAACCCTGTATATTAATACGCAGCTGCTTTGTTCTGATGCTCTTCCAATTTTGTACGTATCATATCTCGCCCCAGCCAATCTCGTACCCAGAGCAATGCCTGTGCGCGGGCTAGGATGGCATTGGCTCTGGGGAAATTGAATTTTTCCCGTGCTGTGATTGGTTTAACGTTTATCAATCGTGCATGCCGGCAAAGAACCGGAACCTCTCAATTTAGGGGTTCCGGTTGTCAGTTTCCCCAGAGCCATCCTAGCCCGCGCACAGGCATTGCTCTGGGTACGAGATTGGCTGGGGCGAGATATTGATACGTACAAAATTGGAAGAGCATCAGAACAAAGCTGCGTATTAATATACAGGGTTTGAAATTTTAAGTATCTTTCAATATCGAACTGGGATATTATACCCGTTTTCAAAATTTCCACAGTTCAAGCGTGCTGTACCGAAGCGTATCAAAAACATTTTTAAATTTCAAAATTTAGTGAATGTTGATTGGTTAATACTTCCGTAGTACGCCAAAAAGTTGACTTGCGACAAACTTTTTATTTTGATACGCGAATACACCCGGAAGTACGTGGATTTATAAACGTAAACCTCTTTTCAATATGCGCATGCTCACCAGTACGTTTCGGTACGGTTGAAGTGGAAAACTGGCTTTATATTTGGGGAGGCTTATACTCGGAATTGCCTGAGTGTAAGTGAATCAGTGGTGGGCTTATAAACGGGGCCGGGGGGCTTACATTCGGGGGCGGGGATATATTCGGAGGTTTACGGTATTTTATTTTCCGCGAATCGTGATTTAAAAAACCGCACAATTTTCACAAAACATACTGTTTCCCGAAATTCCCAGTCAATTAAGAGGAGAATCTTTGGCCAGTATGTCATGTAATACGCGCTCAAAACTAATAAATATGCTTTTTCATTTGGTTTCAATTTTTTAAATTTTTGACACGTTTCTCAAGCGACAAACAAACATAAAAAGTATGTTTGATGTTTTATTCGTAAATTTATGCTAAAATTAAGAGATTTTAGATGGTACGCCAACCAGAAAATGATGTCTGAAGTTCAGTAAGTTTTGCTTATATAGCTGTTTGAATATGGCGTCAATTTTACAGTATCAATGATAATTGTATTTAAATTGACAATATTTTACTATTATTTTATGTTTCTCAACCGCCAGATACATTTAAAAAGGTTGCTAATTACTGTGTAAACTACAAAATAAAGCTGAAACAAAGTAATTTTGAGAGGAACACCAAAAAGATTTTAGGTTTTGAACACTTTGCATCGCAAATACGCGACATTGAAAAAAATTGCCTCTTAATGTTAATTATTCTTCCTTTTGGGATAGCAATGCCTCCTTCCAAAAGTAACCAACATCCCAAAATTCAAAAGTAAATATAATATCTGTTCCATTTATTCTTAGATACATGCGCTATATCTTCGACGAAAGCGAAGGCTCTTTGTACTCTTGGCAGCGAAGCTTAATGACTCACGATAAAGAGGAGGCAGAACAGTTCCTTACTGCCAAGGGGTACTCCTTTAAGTGGGATGTCAAAAACCTGATCTATTGGAATGACTCCGCATCAACGATAAACCATCCTCTAACTGGAGAACAACTATGGTTCAATCAAGCATATCAATCAAATTCTACTTACTATAGGGCAATGCCAGTGTATGAGAACAGCGATTTAGCGGATGAGAAATATCCATATACTACGATTCATGCTGATGGTGATGTTATTGATTTAGATGATTTGCATAAATTAAGGTGTACGTCATGGAACACTGCGGTTGGAGTCTCATTGGAGGAGAGCGATGTGTTGTTCCTTGATAATTTGGCTGTACTTCACTCAAGAATGAGCTATGATGGTGATCGAGCCGTTGCGACAAGCATTTTCAAGTAGTGAATTAGATTGTTTTGAAAAATAATTTAAATATCAAATTATTTGTTAAACCAGAACGAAATAACGCGGACATGCATGTCGAGTAACTAATATAGCCTACTGCTTTTCACTGGACACTGCTTTTTTAAAATTTTGCTGTACAGGTTAGAATATAACTGTGGCCGAATTGATACACCAGGCGGAAATCTTAATTTAAAGACTAAAGAGCAAAGCCCAGCATGCAAATAACTTTAAAACCAAACATAACTTTAAAAGTAAAAATTTATTAGCTAACGTTTCGTTGTTTACAATACAACTTCTTCAGAGCAATCTAAATGAAAGATGTTGTATTGTAAACAACGAAACGTTAGCTAATAAATTTGTACTTTTAAAGTTATATTTGTTTTTAAAGTTATTTGCTGGGCTCTGCTCTTTGTCTTTTGGTAATTTGTCTGATGATTGTAACTAAATAGTATCTAATTTACATCTAGGTGTGTGGATATAAGTATCTTCGTTTTGATATTATGTGTGTGTCTTTGTATGATAGTTTCCTTATTATATGTCTGCTCACTATTCGACCTCATATATGTTTAGGTAACTTATTCTTTAATATTTGACATGAGGTAGTCTAGCAATTAATAAACCTTGGCTTCTAGTTGGACTCCTACCTCGTCACAATTCTTCATTTCCTGTCTCTTCTATAATATTACTTTTGTAAATTGTTGTATTAACCAACTGTGGCAAATTAATCAGTATATCAATCAAATCAAATCAAAATCAGAATAAATTATAAGTTAAATCTATTTTGATATTAAAATCTTTAAATTCAACTAGTTTAGCGTTCACGATATATAAGGGAGTGATCGTTACTTTTGGTGAGGGCAGGGTTGGTCAATGAGGAAAATAAGTGTTGAAAACGTTTTTGACACCCAACCCCCCTTCGGTCCAGATTGAAGGCACTTTTTTGCCCCCCCCCCTTCTAGACTAGAGGCAAACCTTTTGCCTCTCCCACATCCTGTCCCCAATAAGCTAGTTCGATCCAAAATTCCAAAACCTATAACTAGCAAGTCCTACAACTAAATGAAACCATCTCATTCGCTCAGAAATGATCAGAAATCTGATCTGGTTCCGGCATTGCGCAAGTGGAATTTCATTTATTTACATGTACAGTATTATGGCTTTTCGCTATGCATTGAAACCAAGAGCATTTCAAAATTACTGCCGGCATGTTTTCAAAGCACCTGGCAGCCTAGCTCGCTGCGTCTCTGTTGATTCGCGCTACTTTTGTCAAGGCAGTTCCGAAGACATTCAACTTTCTCGGCCAGTACAGCTTGCAGGTCGTAAATACCTTCCCGGCTCGTTCGTTCCTGGCTTCCCCGAGCAACTCTCCAGTCCTAGGGAAGGCTTCCCTCTCGTTCTAAAAGCAAGGACCGACGCCGATCTGGAAAGCAATAGCGTCGAATTTTGGTCGGAATGTTTCAGGGAGCAAATTTCAGAGTTGTTTAAAGATTTTCAAAATGGTTCCAGCGAGCCAGTTGCCGTACTGGTTCGTGGCTTGCCGATTAGAACCACCAACGATTTCTCTCGCTTCGTACAGGGTCTGAATTTCGAATTCTTCTTGTATCAGGGAGGCGGCGGTATTCGTGATAAAGTCGATGACTTTGTCCTAACGGGCGCAGGCGAACCAAAAGAGTATTCAGTCGAGTTGCATAACGATATGTCTTACAGCACAGATTACCCTAACAAGTTCATGATAACATGTTTAAAAAAGTCCCCATTTGGAGGCGAGACAGCTATATGTAATGGTCGAGAACTCACTGCGAATATAGATTCTGATTTGAAGGCGAAATTCGAACGGAAAGGCATTCGGTATGTTGTTACACATTTTATACACCATTGATATATATGTTGCGTATATATGTGTATGTTTTTACGATCATTGCGTAATACACTGACGACGTGTGCGTAGAGGAAATCCTTGTGGGAACGAGGTTGGCGGGGGGTGGTGTTGACTGCAACAAAAGTTTCCCCAACTTATGAGTGCTTCTTCTAATCATAGATCCAATCTCGAGTAAATCGATTTGGCCTTCGGGGTTTTGTAAAAGTCAATGATGCTTGTAGAATATTTAAGTGTTTTGCATAATATAAAATAGTATATGATTGTTCCGGAATTTGCCACGTCTATCACAGACACTTCGTAACGTAACTATCTAAAATTCTAAATAACCAGTGCTAGTTTAATAAATCGGAAACACCCATATAAGAACCTAGATTTTATTGAATCTGTTTTAAGCTAAAATTGCAATGAAATACTAATACCAACCCAGCGGAAAGTACTCAGCCTTGGCTAAGGAACCTTGCTTCCGAGATACTGTAGAGATGTCGGTTATGATTACGAGATCATACAGTTATATTAGATAATATTGTCTAAAGCCAATATCTCGTGCTATATCGAAAACGAAGCTTTGTTAATTCAAAGCCTAAATTCTTTGTTTGCAATGACATAATTTTGGGATTTCAGTTGACGGGCAGATATAACAAAAATCGGCTATTTTAATGTATTGATCTAGTTTAGAGACAGTTTAAGACTCAAAAGATGAATTACCGTTCAGTTTTACTTGCTACAACCATTCTGATAAAAGAAAAATCCACAAGTTGTTTGATCCACAAGTTGTTTGATTGCCCGTCATTTGGATGAAAAGTCATGTGATTGCAAACAAAGAATATACTTAGCCCGATTCTGAAGTTAAACCATTTTTAGGCAAACGTGGTTAAATATTTAATTTATGTGGTTTTATACTGTGTCAGTTCTAGTTTGAGGGATTTTATGAAGGCTGCTCCATTATTAAAAGACAATTTTTTGTTTAATGCTGTATTTGAGTAAATAATTTTGTAATTGTCAAATACAAGGTCGGACGTCATATGGGCAGAATGTGTCTTGTCAGTCCAAGGTTTTTTTGGTACAATATATTGTGCGCCTTGACATAGTATGAAGTGTTGAGCTAGTGCCCTGGTGTCATGTTGTGTGGCACAGTGAATGATGTTTGTCGAGTCGTATCTTAAGGCAGCTCTCAGTTTTACTAACTGATATATTATAGGACTTGTCGCTGCAACCAGGGACCGATTGTATCAAACCCGTTTAGCTTCAACGGTGCTTAAGCTGAAAATAGAAAACAATTTTATAGACTGGGACGCCGGAGAGGTGGCGCGATTTAACAACCAAACTAAAAGTTTTGAACCTTAATAATAGAACGATAATGTTTACAACTGCTCATTTATTTAAGTTGACTGAGTCACGAAAGATATAAGAGTACATGCAGTGCATGTTATATTTAATTTTCACTTATACAATTAAGCTAAACGGGCTTGATACAACTTGTCCTAGGGCAAGTAATTTGGAAGGTTGTACTAAAACGAGATAAGGAAGGAATTTTGTCTTTATTAGATGTGAAAAATTAGATCTTTTTTGTGGTGTACAAATACACACTATATCGTCCACACAAGAAACAAAAGAACATCATTTCTATCACATTTTATTCTTAGGTATCTGCGATACATTCTGGACAAAAGCGAAGGCACATTCAACTCCTGGCAACGAAGTTTGATGACTGAAGATAAAGACGAAGCAGAGAAATTCCTGGCTGCCAGCGGCTACTCCTTTAAATGGGATGACAAAAACCTGCTATACTGGAACGACTCTGGACCGACTATAACCCATCCATTAACGGGTGAAAAAGTTTGGTTCAATCAAGCATATATGTCGCATTCTACTTACTTTAAAGCGATGCCAATGTACGAGGACAGTGAGTTAGCAGATGAGAAATATCCATCTCATACGATTCATGCAGACGAAGATACTATAGATTTAGGAGATTTGCATAAATTACGGTGTACATCATGGAATACGGCAGTTGGGGTCTCGTTGGAGGAGAGCGATGTGTTGTTTCTTGATAATCTTGCTGTACTTCATTCAAGATTGAGCTATGATGGTGATAGAATCGTTAGAACAAGTATTTTGAAATAGTCAATTGTTTCTGTGAACACATAGTAAACATGCATATTAATTGTATATGAGCATGTATGTTGATTAACTGATATATTATATGATTACATTTTAACCAGGCTTCTTTTAAATTTCCGTTAGCCTCCCCCATAAAATAGAGCCTGCTACGCAGCAAAAGTTCCAAATGCTGTTCTCCGTTTGTGAAGGACAGGAGACGAGAAGAAGAACAACAGGATGTCCAAAATTATTGCAACCCAAATTGCAGTGCTGTATTAAGTAACTTCGTTAAAAGTAACTAATTACAAGTAATCGTTACATTTTTCAGTAACGGTAACTTGTTACATTTTGAGAACATGTAACTGTAACGGTAACTAGTTACAAAAAATGCCATAAAATTGAAACGATTACAAGTTATTTTGCCAAAGTTACAAGTTACATTTTGTTCATTGCTATTTGTGTACGTTTTTAAAATGAAATAAATCAATACACAGTCAGGCAAGCTCTTAATCATCTGCACAGGAATAATTTAATCTGACACAACAGAATCCGTTCAAGACGTAAATTCAAGTCAAGGATTGACGTCAAATTTACGTACAGTTGGAACTGATCGGAATGCCGTCGCTCGCCTTCACTTGGGCCTTGGCCTCGTCATAATTGGTCTTTGGCCTCATTTCACTTGGCCTTGGCCCAGTCATGATCACGTATTCACGTTTCTGCTTTTTCATTGCGAAGTCAGAAGCCACTAACCAGTGAGGTATATTTTTTTCCAGTCTATTCGTTCAGACTGTATAATAGCAGAGGTTTTTTAATTGACAATTCTATTAAAAAATCGATTTGATGGAACGTTACTATACATCTAGTAAATAGTTATTAATTTTGGCAATAATTTTGCCGCAAGTTTCATTACCATTCGGCCCATTCGAACTGTATGCGTTCTTGATTGCAATGAATAAATGTAACTTGTAACTTTGTAACTAAGTTACAAAAAATATATTGTAACTTTGTAACTGTAACTAGTTACACTTTGGCGTCTGTAACTTCTATCGGTAACTAGTTACGTTTTTGGCAATGTAACTATAACTGTAACTAGTTACAAGTAAACTGTAACTGTTACAGCACTGCCAAATTGCCGAAGCAGAGTCGAGCTCGGAAAGTGAAGAGGACGAGGAACCAAGGAAAAGACCGGCAAAACGAAAGCGGAAACAAAGTCCGGACTCCGGACTTTGATTCAGATGACAGTGATGAATAAGATTGACGGTTAGGTTTTAAATACACGCAGTCAGGGATGCCGGAAGTTGATGAGGGCAAGGGGTGCGATTTGTTATCAAAAGGGTATATTTTTTAAAAAAGGGCTGAAACAAAAATGAAAGGGCACTTATCTACTTATAACCTAATTTAAAATCAAATACAAGCAATGAAGCAACCTTTTATTCATTTCAAACATTAGAATAAGGCACGCAGAATTAGCAGAAACTGTTTCGCGTTCTCTTCTACTGAAGAAAGTTTTGTGTGGTTGTTTACTACATATAAACTCCTCCAAAGTAACCTTTTCTTTGTGAGGATTTCGATATAAATTGTTTTCTGCTTATTTGGTAACCGCGCCAAATTTCTTAAACCCGCATTGAAATAACGCTTGATCGCTGGTCAGCTTCGAAAGATTACATCATTAATTATTTGTACACGATTGCACTTGATAAACCCGACGAGTTGCGATAAATTTAGAGGTTTACTTAAGTAATCTGTTTATGTTAAATTCGTTTTAAATCTTTTGTGCACCCGTTGCACCCACAGTTTGCACCCGCACTGAACCCAAACAATTATGAATACAAAAGGCATGGGGGTGCACTTGCACCCGCTGCACCCGTGGTTCCGGTATCCCTGCACGCAGTTGATATTCCAGATAGACTTTGTTGCACATAGATTGACATAGTTGACATTTCAAACGCACTTTTTATATTGTTCGCATTATAACTGTATGTGTGGTTCTGGGAAAGAGTAAGAGACGTGGTACACTACAGGTATCACCACAACCGCCGATGCTTCCTCTCGCCCGAGAAAACGTGTCTTGTTTTCGTGTCAAAACTTTCAAGAATGCGACCACATTCCTGCTATTAAAATGTCAAACAATTACTAGCTAATTTCAGCACAATTTCCCGCAGACCAATCAGATGTTGCCATTTCCAAATTGTCGATTTCGCGAGATTGGGAATGTAGCATTCCTGGATGTTTTGACACGAAAACACGACACGTTTTTTGGGCGAGAGGGAGGATCCGCGATTTTTACATGCACACCTAGTAACATTTCTTTAGTAACAGAGAATCTAGTAACATTTCTCTTGTAACAGAACTCTTACATTTCTCCTTACAGAATACAGTTTTCGCAACTTGAATACAAAAGCCTAATTTCCATTCAGTTGGAACAAATTGTAGTCACCATGTGAAATGATTTAGTTCTTTTCTTTGCTGCATGCAAATCGGCCTATACTGATTGCAAAGATATATTGACACTCAATATACTGTATATATCGGGACATTCATGCAAACGTCCCAACGAAATGGAAACCAGGCTTAGAATTGCACTTATAGTCGTATGAATTGTATTCATAATGTGTTGTTTAGTTTTGTATAATTAAAAAAGTGTTTCACATTGGTTTAAAGACATAGGCGTACGGGGCCGCTAAATTCTGGGGGGCGGTAGCTTTTTTGCCCAAAGAATTCCACATTGCCCAAAAAATGTTAAAAAAATTTTTCCGGAAAAATTATTTTGGCGACCTCCCCCCCCCGTCGCCAAAAAAATTTCGGTCAGTGTACCATTTTAGGGGTCAAAAAAATTTTCCGGACAACCAATATTTTTCGGAACATAATACAAATTTTCCAAAAATCACAAAATTTGCCAAAAAATTTACTTAATTTTAGACAAAATTGACATAATTTGTCCCATTTTTTTTAATTGCAAACCAAAATTGCCCAAAAATTTTGCCCAATCTGCCCAAAAAACTGGGATATTGCCCAACTGCCCAAAAAACTGGGGGGGCTACCGCCCCCCCCGCCCCCCCGCCCCGTACGCCTATGTTTAAAGATTATGAATTGATTTCCTTTGCAGACTTGAATAGCGATATATATGACTGTTTTGTGAAAACACCACGTTTAATTATTTGGCAAACATTCGATCGTCAGATTAATCGTGTACGATTCGTTTTCTGGCTTATGTCATTGAGTGTTAACGCGTAAGCTGGCTACATTTGAAATTTATTTTTAACGAAATGGTAGTGAATTATGGCGCCAGCACTCATTTTAATATGCCAGAATACGAATCGTACACGACAAATCGTAGCGTGTAAAGTCCCGTTTATCACACGAGCAATTTTTATGTGACAAATGTATTTTTGGTCGTGTAGATGAGACAACAAATAATTGTTGATGCACTTGATTCCTGTTTAAAAATTATCTATGAACAGCGGTACCTCGCGCAGAAAAGGCGCGGACACTAAGTCACACTCACAAATACGGCGGGAGAAAAAAATGACATTTTATGTGACGAATAATCTACACGACTACACGAGCAATTTTTCGTATGTGACAACTTTTATTTGTCACATGAAAGCTAACACGCTAGTTTTTCAGCAACTGTAGTTTGCCACACAGAAATTTGCCCAATTTAGTCCTCGTCTACACGAGCAAATAAAAATTGTCACATAAAAAATGCTCCCCTGTAAACGGGGCTTAATTTAAACGTAGCTTAATATATATGTATTTTTAACAGTAAATCTTTGAAAAGTGTTCTGAAACGATAAACAGTATTCTTTTCCTCACGCTTCACGGTAACTTTTTAGTGTTTTCACGACTGAGGGTAACCGCCATTGAGTGAATCACGACTCACGATATACATCAACACCCTCTTGATTGCAGGCTGCGCTCCGTGTAAGGAAAATCCCAATCTCTCACTCATTCTGACTTTGGCCCACTTTGACCTGTGTCCGCAGGCGTTTCGATTCATTGCGCAAGTGGAATTTCATTTATTTACATGTACAGTATTATGGCTTTTCGCTATGCATTGAAACCAAGAGCATTTCAAAATTACTGCCGGTATGTTTTCAAAGCACCTAGCAGCCTAGCTCGCTGCGTCTCTGTGGATTCGCGCTACTTTTGTCAAGGCAGTGCCGAAGACATTCAACTTCCTCGGCCAGTACAGCTTGCAGGTCGTAAATACCTTCCCGGCTCGTTCGTTCCTGACTTCCCCGAGCAACTCTCCAGTCCTAGGGAAGGCTTCCCTCTCGTTCTAAAAGCAAGGACCGACGCCGATCTGGAAAGCAAGAGCGTCGAATTTTGGTCGGAATGTTTCAAGGAGCAAATTTCAGAGTTATTTAAAGATTTTCAAAATGGTTCCAGCGAGCCAGTTGCCGTACTGGTTCGTGGCTTGCCGATTAAAACCACCAACGATTTCTCTCGCTTCGTACAGGGTCTGAATTTCGAATTCTTTTTGTATCAGGGAGGCAGCGGTGTTCGTGACAAAGTCGATGACTTTGTCCTAACGGGCGCAGGCGAACCAAAAGAGTATTCAGTCGAGTTGCATAACGATATGTCTTACAGTACAGATTACCCTGACAAGGTCATGATAACATGTTTAAAAAAGTCCCCATTTGGAGGCGAAACGGCTATATGTAATGGTCGAGAACTGACTGCGAATATAGATTCTGATTTAAAGGCGAAATTCGAACGGAAAGGTATTCGGTATGTTGTTACACTTTTTATACACCATTGATATATGTTGCGTATACTTATGTTTATACGATCATTGCGTAATACACTGCGTTATACGCAGTCTGCGTATAGAAGAAATCCTTGCGGGAACGAAGTTGGCGGGGGGGGGGGGGGG